CACTGACATATTTATTCCTCTCTTCTCTAGCAGGTTATAAACTTTCAAAGAACCTGCAGTAGATACTCTGGCTAACACCTGCCTCCAGCCTGTTGGGCTGTTTTTGGCTTAGTGTTTACAGTCATGAACTTGACACAGGAAAGAGGAATACTGATGGAATTTCACTGCTGACGTGAAGTTGAGAGCCAAACTGATACCATGAAAGCTCAGATTTTAATACAGCTTTTTCAGACCTAAATGTTCCTGAGGCCTGGAGCAGTAGAAGACAAATTATTCAGAGTGAAAGATCACATGTGCAGGAGTTGCTAGCAGTGTTTTAGCTCTAAATGGGTTGTCTGCCAGAATTAAATGGTGAGGAAAAGGGCTCTAACGTGCCCAGTCATGTGGAGTTTGAACCACTCACTATGAAAACACAAATGCAGTCTCCCTGCAGCTGACTGGGGATGCAGTGTAGTCACATCAAGTGTTTCTGTGTCTTTGGGGCCTGAGTTTAATAATTTCCCCAGACCTCTGGGGATCCCACAGAGAGCAGAGACCTGCATGGAGTTTGCATGGGTCCAGCATACCCAGAGGACTCCCATGTGATGCTAATAAACTTGAGTTGATCTTGAGATCAAAAATTGGGAGTGCTGGTCCTGTGTCCCCTGGCACTTGTGCAAAGGGATTGTTGAGGCTCCACAGGTAACTCATTGTGGAGCCAAGGAGAATTTGGCAAGGGCTGTGAGTTTGAGCTCAAAGCTGCACATAAGCAGCTATGGCTGTTGCCAGTGAAGAGCTGGTCCCTGAAGCCAGAGCACGGCGTCCACTGGATCTGATCTGTTTTAGCAGAGGACTTTAGAGCCCTAATGGCTCAATGGTTGGACTTGATGATCTTGGAGGTCCCTTCCAACCTAAAGGATTCTATGATTCTATATGCTGCCTTTTGTAGGAACTTATAGGGCTGAGCTATTCCTTTGTGCACAGCGTGGATAGCTCAGGGCACCTTAGTGTGCTAGCTACAGAGCTTCAACTGTACTTTTAGGTTCATTTGGTCCATATTCAAAAGGAATTATAGGAAGGATATCGGCAGTTGCAGATTAATTAGCAAGCACCAAGATCCTTTCAGGCATGTCCTCCTGCCCTTCTCCTTCCTTCTGCCCTTCCACCCAGTGCTTTCACACAGCGGTGGGGTCTGAACATATCTTTATATAGGGATAGAGAATTTTTACTTTTATACCTACTGGTTCAGGCTGGTAGATACCAGAATTGTGGAGGTTTTTCTTTGTTGGTTTTTGTTTTTCCCCCACTCCAAAACTTCTTGATTTTATCTCCCTTATAACCTTGTACTTACATATCTATTATAAGAAGGCCAAAGCTTTTTTTTTTTTCCCCAAAAAAGATAAAGTGAGGAAAAAAAATACTGCTTTGTACCTGGAAATAGTGAGAATGCAGGAAAGAAACAGAGAAGCCTAATATTCTTGAGCATTCAGTTGAGCCAGTATGTTATGAAAGAGTTAAATGACTGGTTTTCTTAACTTGCAGATACAAGAATTTGGCCTCGGGCAATTAGGTGCTCTTTTGAGAATGGTTTTGTTGATCTCCTGCCATCCTCTCTAATATTTCAAAAGATTTTTTACATTAATATTATATTTGCCCTACAGGAATTCCACTGCAGTCTTAGGCAAAAGTCTTTCAGTGGGTTGTCTCTTATTTTTTTTCAATCCTTCTTTTGTAGGAAGAGGCTTAATCAAGCTATACCTAGCCTATGTCTCTCCAACAAGTGTGTTAAGTATGTATCTTGAAAGGTAATCTTGAATGACAGGCAGCTAGCTCATAAAAGATGTTCTTTCTTTAATGGGGAAGTTCAGAGAGCTAATTTGTATCTGAATGCCCTGAAGATAATCTTTTCCCTCATCTCCAGGAGAGCCTCTTCTCTTCTGGCCCAAGACCTGACTGAATGCCTGAATGCCTCTTGGACTCATCTCTCTCATCTGCAAAGTCCAACAGGTGTAGCTGCCTCCATCTGTACGAATTTCAGTTGCAGCTTGTCTCCACTGTTCTAAGTAGTGATGAGATATTTGATCCTAAACTCATGGTGTCATTTTGCACTGATTTTGTGGAACCAGCAGTGCCAAGCTCAGTGTTAAATCAAGCATTTGACTTGCACAGATGAATAGTCTTTTCTACATACCCTCAGGCTACACTCTTATAAAGCAGAGTTTCATAGAAAGGTAGTTATTAATACATTACTCTGGGTTTTGGCCATTGTTATCTCACTAAAATGCATACTATAAAAAAATATTTTTGTGGGAAAATGAGACATGTTGCTAGTTTGGAGTAATTACCTAAGCATTTGTGTCAAAATAGTGACAACATTGATCTTTAGCTTGTCTCAACAATGCAATTAAGCAGTGTGCATCTGGTAAAATAACTGTCGTTTCTACTTTAGCTACAGGGAAGTGACTTTGTTTGTTCTTTGGTATTTGATCTGAGCAAGTTTTTTATTGTTGTCAGAGGATGGACTCGCAGGGTTCTCATTCAAAGGTGCTGTATTTGTTCTTAGAAAAAAGTGGGACAACTGTTTTTCATCTTCTTGGTACTTGTTCCTTTGATACTGAGTGTAAATGGCTCAAATTCCGTTGTATTAATATTCTGGATAAGGAAAAACCTTTATGCATGTGTTAGTTGTACTTTGCTCAATTATTATGATTTCTGTTCATAATAATTTTTTGAAACTGAAGTTTTTTGCACTAGCTTTCAGTTGTATTTGGGCTGTCATAGGAAAATTCCCTTTTCTTGACTCCAATGCAGAGTAAAGCTACTACCATTGTCAAAAGTGACACAAAATTCAAGCAGAATAAATTGTTGGTCTCAGAAGGTCGCATTGAGCACACTAGAAATGGAAAAGGAGTCACAGTAATCATATCGTTTAAGTCTGAGAACTTGACAAATTTGATAAACTGTGATCAAACAATTTGTGTGAGCAATGCTTTGACAAGGGATCTTAAAACCTCACAAGCTCGTGGGTAATTCTTTCTATGGCTAGGAATTACTGAATCTATTATATAATTCGGTCACCATAGGTTTCTCCTATATGTAATTGTTTAAAGATTTTAATGTCATATCAATTCAGTTTCATTTGTATCAAATGTGAGTGGGGATTTCTTAGTACTGTATTGCTAATTCACAACTATTCTTCTGCTCGAGTCCTACTCAACTATTTACATCTTGGGTTTGTCCCGATTTGATGTCGGGGGAGGTTTCGATATGATCCCAGGAGGTGAGATTGAGACCCAAGCGAGGTCAAATGCCGTGTACCCAACACAGTTTTTATTATGAGAAAAATGTCAGAAAAGAGCAGCAATGGGACAGAGTGACAATAAAATGCAGAAATGAAGCAAGCAGTGGGTAGAGATTCACCAGAGCAGTGACCACCACGGGCCCGCAGCGCCGTGGGGCTGGAGGCGTCTCAGCTTCGGGGGTGGGCGCTGGGGCAGCAGCGAGGCGGCGAGCAGGAGGAGAGCCCTGAGCAGGCAAGTCCGTGGTGAGCAGGAGAAGAAAAAGAGATCTGGGCAGTGTCTGTGCCAGTTTTTATAGGGTCTGGGCCAGGAACTGACGTCACGAGTCCTCAGGTCCACGCGGGTACCACGCGAGTGTCGCCTGCTCGAGGTGCCCTGCGTGACCCCAGGGGAGGGGCTGCGCGGCCCGGGCCTGGGGCCTGGCCC